AGGTGGTAAGAATATAGACATGTTTCTCCTTATTTGTGAAAAGAAAAACCAAGAAGGATAAACTCAGAAGTAAGGCGATCAGTTATTTGTAGCAGGTGGGTGGGAAAGAGAGGGACAGATGAGGGAATGGGAATATGGTAGCAGTGCTGAAGACCGTGTGTTTTTACTGATCCTCAAAACCACAGCAACAGTCCATCAACCATTACATAACCAAGAAACAAACAGCCCAAACCAACCAGGAGGAATGCAGTCTAACAAATGAACCTAACCGGACTATAGATGAGTGAGACACCACACTGTGGAGGTAGGAAAGAACACAGCCGACCTAAACAACTTTGGAAAATAGTTGGGACTGTTTTCCAAAATGGACTGCTGCTTCCCCTCTCTGCTCTCGGCCACATGAGAAAGCAGGAAGTCCACGGTCCCAAAACCAGAAGAAGGGCCTCCCAGACCCCAAACACATGGGCACTCTGATCTTGGACTTCCAGGCTCCAGAACTGTGAGAAATGAATTTCTGCTGTTTACAAACCACCAATCTGTGGTATTTTGTCATAGCAGCCCAGAGTAAAGACAGTAGTAAAATTCAAATAGAGTCTTTGTTCGATGGTATTATTGTACTAATGGTAATTCCCGGGTTCTGGTAACAATAGCACAGCTATGTAAGGTGTTGACACTGAGGAAGACTGGAGAAGGGAAACTCAGACTTGCAAGTTTTCGGTATGTCTAAATGTAGCTCCAAATAATAGCACTTTAAAACAGTCTTCAAGGGTAGACAGAACATGCTACTCAGCTGGCTGTCCCCAGCCTGAAGAAGTATGTACAGACCAAACAATAAAAATGCTGCAGGTTGAAGTTATGTCACATGTAAAAACAACTGTAGATTACAGTCAGGAAATGAATTTTAAACTGCAAACCTGAGAGCTCTGAGATACCATGAAGCCCCTTAGGAGACCTGCAGGAGCTAAGGAAGGGCCAGGGGACCGTAAAGAGATGTAATTAATCTGTTTCGATCACTACACATAGGTGATCCTACTGCCTGTAACAAGGTAAGGAATTCAGGATGAAAAGGAGAGTAGAATAAAGAGCTAATTGAGGGTTTCCTGGCCCTGGGCTTCCAGAAAACTCACTCTAAAACATACTCCTTTAATATGAATTCCTGGGTAAAATGATAGATAGCTTGTAACCTGAACTACTTTAAAGATAATTTTCTTTCCAAGTGATTACTTGAAGTAGGAGGAAGACAATCAAAAAGTTGGAAAACAGCCCTTAAGCCGATGGGACAGTTATGACCTCCTGTGTAGTGTTCCACATGATACATGAGAATTCTTTGCTACAAGTGTACAGTAAATCTGACAGTGCTGCCCAGGCCACATGTTCACAGCCAAAGCACAAAACAATCTCTCCAGATCCTCTGATCATCAATACAACATCATCCTTAGGGTGAAAAGAGGAGAACAGCAAATTCCAAGCTACAAGTCTCAGTTAGCTTAATAAAATATATCTGCTCATTCTTAGATCATCTAGGGGTGAACTAGAGCTAAACTCTTCTCCCCATACCGGAAGCGATCTAAGTAACCAATCAACCCAGGCAACAGGCCACAGGAAAGTAAAATAAATGGATGCCAAGTAACTGTACTGCCAGTAAGTCAGTACAGAATCACATTTATTTCACTTCTTTTCTTCCTTTTACACTACTAAGAACCCAATTCAGCTTCAATGAGCATAAGCACTACTCATGCTTCTGAGCGTCAGATACTCTGCAAGAGACTTTTTCACACAACTTAACTTAATAGATGCAGAAACAGAAGATGTACATTTGGTTCAGGGTTTTGTCACTTTAATCATGTGACCCTGAATTTGTCAAAAGAATGGTTCAAAAGTTAACAACCTTGACCTTGGTCACAAAACTATGTGGCAGAGCCAGGATTCAACCTGAAGTCTCTCAGTCTCAATCTGGTGCTTTTTCTGTACTTACCTGGGAATAAGAAGAACTCAAAAATACTCTACTCAAGATACTGACTTTATATATAGTTATCGACAAATGTAATGAAGAAAATAAACAGTCATAGAAACTTAGCTTGAAAGGGAGGGATGACGGGAAGCCAAGGCAAGAATTCCCATCAGCAGCAAAGCAGCAATGCTGGACAACAACACAGATTTCTACAACTGTGAGGATCCCATAGTCTTTTCTGGGAATAAATTTGGTTTGGGTAGGGAAATGCTATAATTTTAATTTATGCAGAAGAGGCTACAGAGGAAGTTTTTTCCTTTCGATTCCTGATGGCTAAAGGATAAAGCTCTCTCTCCTCTTATAACCCAGCCCCAGCAGCTTGAAAAAGGAAGTTATACATCAGTTTCCTCCTGAGTGAACAGAACAGCAAGAGTCCCCTCAGAGTTACTCTGAGCCCAGCAAAACCACACAGCTGAGCACTTGGGTCTCTGGAAAGGATGGTGCTAAGCACTAACACTAACAGTCCATTTTTTTCTTTTTGTCCTCCACGTTTTCCATTACATTCATGTGATCCTCCTTCATGGCCTACAGACTATATTATTTGTCTCTCAAAACAGAATTTATTTTTGGCTGTGCTGATTTATACCTACAGAGAAAGAGAAAATTCTTTCTGTGGATAAATGGTGAAGAAGAAATTGGAAGAAAAAGGTAAAGCTTAATCCCCTACCCCCTATATTTTAAAATTAAAGTAATCTAGCTTTGGTGAAGAGAAGAACAAACAGGGATTCCTGAAGGCACTGCCATTTGATTCTGTTTTTATCAGACATCACCTTACAGTAAGCACCCTGCCACTGAGAAAGAGCCACATGAGATTACTAAGCAATATTAAGAACCATACAGATGAGCTTCAGATGCTGGCAAATGTCAATATACTCACAAATATTTACTGAGTACCTACTAGGCCAGAGCATTCAGTAACTATATGACCACTAGCACCTCAAGTCTTTAGGACAAAAAAAAGTCAACTGTCAGGTAACACAAGAGATGCTCTATTTCAAGTTAACAAAACCAAATTTAAGATGATGGTTTTATAAAATCACTTTATGGACACTCTAAAAGAAAATATCACAGGAGAAAAAACCAATCAGTAAGTGTTCTAGTTACATACACAGTAAAAAGAAGATAAAGAAATTACTACTTTACTACTCTAGCCCTTTAGTGGCCAGTGAAGGTATAATGGCCTATATTATGTATCTCCAGAATATATCTGATTGTAAATCCAGTTAAATTCATCTGGACCCAACTAGAATTATTTGAGACAACCGGCTCTTCTCAAAATGCTGAAATAAAAGGATTCTACAAACCTGAATAGCCTCTGATAAATACTCAAATATATTCATTTTAAGCAAACTTATCAAAACATGTTGAATAACCGGAGCGACATATCTCACATACTTGTTTCAACTTCAACTCTAAATTGCTTAAAATCATTTGCCTCAACCAATGAAGCAAGATGGAAAGAGGAGGAGGAAAAGCATGCAAAGTCAGATAAATAATCCCAGCATCAAGCCACTTGTGCCAGCAGCAAACAATTTAATGGTTCCATTGTCAATCTATCTGACCTTCCATTAACCTGCTTTGTTCAGCATCCAGGTTAATATCAGAAAGCCACCACCATAAAGACATAAAAAGTGTCTGGGAATTCTGGAAGAAGTTTATGAATCACCACAGGAATTCTCTAAATTAACCCACAATCCTGTAAGAAGCCAAATCTAACCACATTCTCTCTCTTCTTCCCCTACAGTGAGGGTTGGTAAGCTACGGCTGGCAAGTCAATTCTGGCCCACTGCCTGTTTTTGTATAGCCTGAGAGCTAAGAACAGCTTTTACATTCTTAAATGGCTAAAAAAGAAATCAAAGGAAGAGTAAAATCTCCCGACATGTGGAAATTAAATGAAATTCAAACTTCAGTGTCCATAAACAAAGTTTATTGGTGGACAGCCAGCCCACCTATTTACATATCACCTATGGCTTTTGTGCTCTGATGGCTGAACTGAGTAGCTACAAGAACCATACAAGATTATTAGGCTCCAAAACTGCCCTACATTCAGAGTTGCTACTAATTTGCCTTGAAATAACTGGCTTTAGCTATGTAACTCTGTACAAAGAGACTCCAGATGTTTCTACCATCTGAGCAATGGAGAAATTATTGTATTTCATTATAGATTAGCTAAAAACTAGCAAGTTTCTGTAACATTTTTTAAACCACATTCTTTCACAAAGAAATTATTCTTTCACCACTTTATTATTTTCAGTGGGAAAATTTATAAGAATATGACTTATCTTACTTCCTCTACCATGAAGAAGCCCAAAGTCTCCCACTTATGTACAAAATATTCAAGAATATATATGGGTATCCTTTTTTGAAAGAGACAAAAAAACACAAGGGTACAAAAGCAGGGGTTCATGGTCACTTTTTAGCATAACTACCTAAAACATTAACCCTAACTACGTTATTTTCTGGCTTAGAATAATATCTTTAATATATTCTCCCTACCCCCAAGTTTTTAGTAGGTGATTTTTCATATACATAGTACATTGAAAGAATAGGTCAATGAAAATTCCTATAAATCTCGATTACATGCTGCCATATTTATCTCATCCACTTTATCTTTTCTAGTGGCAATGACTGACTGAATCTTGAGGAAATAATCTGCAGACCATCCAAATACTTCACCCTAAATACTTTCACAACCAAATCCAGGATAACAGTTTTCAAGGAAATAAAAGATGCAAAACTATATAGAAAGGGTACAAAAAGAAAATGGAGGATGGAGAGAGGTTTGTTTTTCTTTTTTTTCCATATAGACAAGTAAAGATACAGGCAACCTCTGAAATCCCAATAATCTACAATGCTGGAGTGTTACTTACCAAGATCACAAGAATAATCTATTGATATCATGATTATCAAGAGATCATAGCAGCTCAGACTCCCCACCTCCCACGCCTGATGACTTCCTCACAGGAGGGATCATGGCTCTGGCACTCACCTAAGGGCGGCAGCGTGGTATGTGTCAACGTAATCAGAAATGAAGAGCTCTCGGTTCTTGATAACAGGGTCTGTAATGACAAGTTCTCTTCCAGAGTCTGTCCAAAAAAATTAATTAATTGAGAGGATATTAAAATTGAGCTTCCCAAAACAATTAGGAAAATTTTGCAGATGTTTTCTTTCAGGTTCACCTCCCACTAAAGAAAGCACAACAAATAACCAGGCCTGATCAGCACAATAAAGAAGAGCAGTAAAGTAGAGCAGGATTAACAGAACAAAGTGTCCCGCTGGGCATGTTTTATACTCTTCATTAAGTCCCCACAGTTTACTGAAATGCATTAAGCACAAAATGAAGGAGAAAGAGAAGAAATAACTATCCCATTTTGGCAACTTGTAAACTACTAAACTATTTAGATATCCTGTCCATCTTGACTGCTAAATATTCCAGGATGGAGTGAAATCACACTTTCTGTTGAAATGAATAATCAAGTTTTTTTAAAAATAAAGAACCATAATTTACTTTAACTGAAATTTTTAAGTTTCAAAGGAGAAAAAAACTAGTTAGACAGAAAAGAACATCATTTTTCAAAAATGCTTCTGACTATGGCTTGTTGACTCAGAACCTATCACCACAGCGGTGCAGACGAGTGGGAAGAGCACAGGCACCAGGGACCCACCACCGCTGGGAAGACAGCGGCCTTGGCAACTCCTGTGGCAGCTGCGCCACGACTTCCTTGCCTGGGAGTGGGGAGTAACAAACCCTAACTTACATGATCAATGGGTAACAAACGTGCACCAGCTGGCATGAGGCCTACCACTTCTCAAAGATCAACAAAAATGAACCATTATACATCTGAATTAATGTAAGATACATTTTATGTACATATCTCGTGCCAATGAAGTTATTGAAACTACAATGCCAGAGGGAGAAAAAAATAGAAGATGACGTGAACTGCCTTCCTACTGTTCTGAAAGTCAGGACTCAAGCTGAATTCTAAAACGTTCAGGAAAGCTTTGCTTTAAAACCTGAAGTTTACAACCCTGAATGCTGAGATGTTCAATAACACAGATTACTGAAAACGAAAAATAAAAAAAAATATAATCCTATCGGGCTTTTAAGTATGATTAGTTCATCATTAGGTGAGAAAAAGGAATTTAAAAATGGAATTGTTATGTCCAGAGACAACCTATCTGATTCCAAGTATAAGAGGAAGTCTCTATTAGAATATGCTCTGGTGGTTTTTTTTTTTTAAAGTAAAAATAATGAAAGAACCCAGCAAAAAACAAAAAGAACATTTCAGTAATGTCCTTATTCATAAAAAGATTTTTTATGGAAAAATTTTCATAGTGGCTATGTCCATTTAAAGAATGTTTCTAGAAAGAACTTTGCCCAAAGCTAAGGAAATGTATGAACCAAACCAGAAAGGACATATTTACCATTTTCATTATGTCGATCCTGAACCAAATGCTGATACACAGAATCTGGAACTTCAGATTGACGGTAGTACCATTTGACGTTCATGAGTAGATGATCCCTCTTACTCTGAAAAGGAAAATCTAACAGCATTAGGAACAGGATTTCAGGTGCTCACAGGTGCATACCATACCCATGATCAAACGCCCCTGGAAACAGGTGGACAGGCAGAGACGGGGACACACAATTGCCACCAGGACCACAAAATTAGAGGTCAATCATGAGGTCAAATTTTATTTTTTTTTAAATCCTAGCCATAGACCCCTCTGATCCTATCCCTTAAAGTTGCTTATTCCAGGAAAAGAAGGAGACTAAACTTGAATCTATCAATCTCTCCACTTTAACTAATAATTCACTCTGTTTTTTATTTAGCATTATCTACACAGTATGACATGAATACATCTCCTATCTTCATCATTCATCATTTTCATAAACATTTATAAATTGTGTCAGCCTACTGTCAAGGCCAGTAAGGGCAGTAAGTTAGAAAGAACTTACCCAGCAAAGCCTGGCACAAAGTCATCTCTCCAAGGTTTGCCTATCAGCCAAACTGAATTACATTCTCCATCCACTTTACTGCCTTTTTTTTGCATTTATTGATATATTGCAAACTAACAGAGCCAACTATGGTAATGAAAATACAGTGATGAAAGTACTATGGGTCCATACAGCAGGGACCCAGTCTTATTTATATTTGAATTTTCAGAGAACAGAACACCTTGTACATAATTATTTGTGAAATGAAGAGTTCTATGACGATCAGGGTCCCAAAATGTTTGTGAGACACTTAACCATGTTACCCCCTAAAGTTTACCTTTGTTCCTAGTTCACTGAAAGAGTAAAAGATCACATGTTGTTCCCCCATTCGAAGGCCCCTGGCCGTGAAATGTTTCAACATGGACCTGCACTAAAGCTTCCAGTGGCTCATAAAATACTTTCCCAGGTTAGGGCTTTGAGAGACCCCCACGGTGGATACAGTATTATTCCTCTTAGCAGCTTCTATCTTCTCATCACAAGTCAGCAGGTCAGAAATCAATGCAGGCTACAATTCAAGAAAGGCCTCATGATTATAAAGGAGATGACTAAATCATAAAGGAGCCTTCTTTAATGAAGATGCTTTCTGCTTAACTGAGAGGCATACATATATAGTCTTCACTAAAAGGCCAGGAAGACTCAAAAATACCTTTGCTAAAATACTTAAGCCACTTAAAAGAACCAGAAAGAATAGAAAACCACTGCCAAAAGTCCTGACTGAGCTCAAATTGGAAGTGCTATTCCAAAGTAAAATATCATAAATAGCAAAATTTGTACTTTATAATTAACCATGTCAAATAGGCCTACAAAAATAGGACATCAGTACTGGTTTGAATACAGATTATACACAAAAAACAGGCCTACATAATGGGTACTTTTTAGTTTTTATACATTTTGTACTTTATATGCTATGCTGTTTTTTACTGCAGCTGAGAAAATGAGGATAAATCACTGTTACATAAAAAGTATTTATATTATATACAGGAATTTATAGATAGGAGCAATTGCTTCCATCAGAGGATTACGGAGGATGTAATATCTGACCTGGGAAGAAATGGGGAAGATTTCAACGGATTCTTTCTAGCCACAGGAGGAGGTCTGAGAAAGAGACAAAGAGACAGTGTAAAGGCTATTGAGATGCACGTGATCCATCTGTGTGCAGCACAGGAAAAATTCAGCTTGCTATTGACAAGAACCTGAATCCTGGCTATAGTTTGGCTTTTAGTGGCCTTCTAACTCTCTGGGACAAATGGTGTCTTCTGTCTGCACTGCTGACCAAATACCAGGCAGTGGGGCACCAAACACCAGGTCATGGGAGAGCAGCTAGAGAGCCACAGCTCCCTGGGAGCGTGGGAAAGAACAGGACCAGGATGCCCGAACACTCGTCACGGGAAGGAAGAGACAAACCGGGGGAAGGGGCAGAGCCTGGGATAAACTCACTTAAGTAAATATGTTGCCTAACACAGTGTTTCTCAACCTCAGCACTACTGACCTTTGATCCACAAAGTCTGTTGTGGGGTCCATCCTGTGCACTATTAGATGCCGAGCAACCCTGGCCTCCAACTACTAAATGCCAGTGGCACCCTTCCCTCATTGTGACAACCCAAAATGTCTCCAAACACTGCCAAATATTCCCTGTGGGAACAAAATGATTCCCAGATAAAAAGCAATGGTCTACCAGTTTCTGTTTTATGAAAAACTAACCCAGAATGGTAAGAATAAAACCTGGCTCAAGCACCACCAGATGAGGAACATGGAATACAGGTAAGAATACAGGAAAGTCTGTCCTGGTTCAATTCCCAACTCCACCACTTCCCAGTTGCATGACTCCGGGCATATTGATAAGATTCTCTGAATGTTCCCAGGTGTGGACAATGGGGGTCCTGAAACCCGCCTAAAAGAACAACTGAAAGAATTGACAAGATGGAGAAGTACTGGGAATTGAGTACTCAGATTTGAGTGCTTTTCTCTCTGTTAGTGGGTGACTGTACCAGTGCCTCACAGAAAAATTTCAAGAACTTTGTTGAGAATTATGGCATTTATTTCTGCAGAATATGGTTTCTTTCAAGAGATGACAGTGATCTCTAGTCATTGACCTACTAACCAATGGATGCTTCAATGGTCAGTCGTGAATTACTTGAGAGGACACAAACGAATTCAGATCTACTCGCAGTACTAGCAACGATGCTTTAGGATTTATCCTTCTATGTATTTCTGTAACACATCTGAGAAGTCTGAAAAACTAAAGGGCAACAAAAATAACCTTTTAAAGGAACCATAACTGGCAGTCATCAATGTATATTTCTCAGAACAAAGCCAGTGATTCTGGTGACCTCTGAGGCATAATGTAAGAATATAGTAATTTATCCTCCATTTGCCCCATGGTCCCAAGCACAGAAGCCGGTGAGTATTATGCCTGGGGCTTGCCTGGGCTTACCCCACCTTATCTCTAAAC